TTCTGGATGGGAAAGTTAGATATTGTAATTTTTCAACTTCTGGCATCATTATCTGGATGGCAAGTAAATTCTGTTCCTGAGGTAGCTTTTTTCCAAGGCCATGTAAATGTGTGTCACAAATGGATTCACATTCATGAACTTAGAGAAAACATTTGGAAATAATTACAATTCTACTAATAGGAAAAAAAAATATAAGCAGTTGCCAAAATAAGGATGGCTTTCAACCTTACCATGACTTCAGCTCTGGATAAAAGAATATGCATACCAAATTAAAAGCCATCCCTAATTTCCTTATTTAGTAAACTGACAGCTTTATACCACATCTATGCTATGTCTGTGTACTCCTACCCTGTAATTTGTGACCACAAAAACTACATCCCCCATGTAGAAAAACCTGACAACGTATGTCCAGTTCATTTCAGTCACCAGTACAAACTCTCCCTCTGAATCTAGCCCTGTATTCCTCCTCTGAGTTCTCCTCCACGTAATCCCAGGCAATACAACCTCAAGCCTTACATGCACTATATTTCTGACCTCTGTTCTGTGCATTCAGTGATTTGTACCATGAAATCTGAAGCACGATAAGCACAGTCATGTCAGAAATCGCTACAAGACAGGCTTCTTCAGACATGATTGCAAGCTGATGCTCAAGTCCAGCTTAGCGGTCTTTTTTGAGTCTTAGTGACAAATCACTGCCTCAGCTCACCTTGTAGCCAAGACTAATGTGTGTTCCCAGCAGACTGCAGCTCCTAGAGGGCTATCTGCTTTGTAGACCATAGTGTAGACCCTAACAAAGATACAGCACAGGAAGGTGTGTGCGTAGTCTTGCTACCAGCTGGTAAAGGTCTTGGTCCATTGTGCTGTCTTATTTTAAACTGCTCAGTCAATCAGTCTCCATACTCCAGCAATTTCTGAGGCCATACCTGAACTTACAAATAGCCACTCTGAGAGAAACAAATGTCTGCAACAATGCACATCCTCCGGAAGTCAAACATTTGTAAAGCTACATAGATTTAAGAGCAGAAGGATGAAGATGGTAAATATTGTAAAAGAGGTCAAGAGATTACACCAAATGAAACCGGGATATCAGTCCTGAAGACACAGATGCAGAAATATGGATTTTTTTGGTTCAGTTCTAACTGCTAATTGAAGGAAGGCCAAAATCAGAAAACATGATTAATTACCAAGATGACTGTGTTTCCTTAACTAAACTCAGGTGCCAGGGGTCCATAATGAAGTCTTCCAAGCAAATAGGATATTATGGCACTGTATTATACAACTGAATGGAAAATTCATTCCAAGACAATGATGTGTTTACCTTCACAAGGAGATTAGTTATAGGAGCACTGTCAGCACTTAAGGCAAACCATTCACAGTACATTAAGGAGGCAATTAGAGCAAAAACCATCTTCAGCATTATTGTTCTTACTAATTAGTAGTAGTCTACAGACACCAGAACATCAATAATAATATGAACAGCCAATTTGTACCCTCAATTTTCAGGAAAAAGAAAACAACTAAAATACATGTTTTTGTCAAGAATTGAAACGTATATTTAACAGGGTATTATCTACATTAACGGTCCCTTGGGCTTTCTACAAAACTGTTCAAATAATTAGGTTTTCACCTGCTATTTTTTTAACTCTGTACACAAAATCATTTAAAGGCACAGAAGGAATAGACCTGAATTTTCAAAGCACAAAGTCATTCCGCATGTCCATCCTGACACGACTTTCCGTTAACAGCATTCTGTTCAAAAAAATGCAATCATTGGCAAAAATTAGTTAAATAGGTTTTATTTAGCTCAGAGCCCCAGATTATCAGGGGGAGCGGCCAAATTCTTCAAGCATTGATGTGGTGATGATTTGGGGACGACACAAAGACACCATGTGCATATACAGAGGATGAGAGTCCTTGCCAAAGGGTGGTTACTCACCTTCCCACTGGCCAGTCAGCACCAGACTCCTGCTAATGACAATGTCAATCTCTCTGGCACCATATTCCACAGCCAGCTTTATTTCAGCCAGTTTGGTTTCTAGAGGAGTTTGTCCAGATGGAAACCCAGCGGCCACTGGCATGAAAGGGGACGCAGGTAGAGAGAAAAAATGTTATAGAAGTGTTTTAAAGTTTTATAAATTAACCATAAAATTGCACATACCTCTAATACACCAACAAGTTTGAAAGTTATTCTTTTTTTTATCCCTACCATGATTCAAAAAATCCAAAGGCACTTCATCCACAAGAAGTATTAGCTCTACCCTCAAAATCCAGTGTCCAGCAAGATACTAAGTGCATCTTGTGAAAAGATCTTTCATGTCTTAAAATTTTTCCAGATCAGCCTACATAAAAAGCAAAATATCTATTGCTTCCAGCAGAACTGAGCAAACAAGAAGTGAACTCAGATATGAAGCAATACATAAATTTTTAATTCTCTCCAATTTTTTAAGCAGTATCTCAAGTTAAATCATAATAATATTGTTTAACAGCTAAATCACAATACAGCAAAAACTGCTTTCAATGAGGTCTATTTAGGATTATTTTTATGATGTTTAAGTACAAAATCCAAAGGTAACTTTGGAAATGGAAAAAATAATGGCTTTTTCAGAGATTGTCTTTCTCTGACATATAAATGCATTTAGTATGTACTTTTCCCCCACACAACAATGAAACAACCAAAAAAAACCTCACCAGAAAAACGGATCTTAGCATTAAGCACCTAATCTAACTTCAAAGTTAGCCCCTGCTTTGATCAAGAGGTTGGACCAGGTGGCATCCAGAGCTCCCTTCCAACCTGCATAATTCTTCGATTCTACTTCTTGCTTATTGTGGATTCAGGACTTGTGTCTCCTGTGTGGTGACTGGAGAAGAGCTGGCACTGTTGGAGAGTTGTATGTAAAGGCTCTGAACCTGCAGGCTGCCCAGCAGGCAACAACCCTCAGCTCTGCACAGATTTAGGTAGGATGTGCTGGGATAGAGTTATCCTCATAGGAGCTGCTACAGGGTTGTGTTTTGGATTTGTTCTGGAAACAGTTTTGGTATTACAAGGATGTTTTGGCTACTGCTGAGAAGGGCTTGCACGGAGTCGAGGTCTTTTCTGCCTCTTACACCACCCCACCAGCGAGTGGGCTGGGGATGCACAAAAAAACTGGGAGGAGACATAGACAGGACAGCAGATCCCAACTTCCCAAAGGGATGTGCATTCCACATGGCATCATATCCAGCATATAAATTAGGGTTAAATTTGGCTGGGGGCTACTGCTTGTGGTGAGCAACTGTCTTAAATTTGTGTCACTTGTCTCACTTGGATTTTCTTTCTCTTTTTTTGGTTGTTATTTTCCTTTTCATTCCATTTATTACTATTAGTATTATTAGTTATATTTCATTTAAATTATGAAACTGTTTTTATATGAACCCACAAATTTTCTCACTTTTACCCTTCCAATTCTCCTTCCCTCCCCAGGGTGGGGGGTGTGAGTGAGCTGCTGTGTTGCTTAGTTGCTGGCTACAGTTAAACCTTGACATAGGATTACACTTAAAAGCCAAACACCTGACAGGGAAAATAAACCTTGTATTAGAATTCCTATTATTATCATCATCATCTTCATCTACTTAGTGTGCACTGATACTTGTCCAGCACACTGTCTCAATTTTTTCTATTCAGGTAAGGAAAACACTGGTATATTTTAAAGACCTTTTTGAAGAGCTTCCAGCAAAACAGACTTGGCATTACTGATAAGCTTGAAGTTGAAAGAAAACAAAAGATTAGACCAGAAGAAAATCCTCCCCTCCATTCCCTTCCTTCCACCTGTTACCTTTTCACCTTACTCCCTGACACAAAAGCAAGTCCAAACTTTTGGATTTTTCCACATATTTTATAACATCAAAATATTTAATTGTATATTTTTGAATAAAGCTTACCTGAAGCTACTGGTATGTTACAACCAGCAGCCTTTAGGGCATTAACAGCATCGGTGACTCTTGCAGGATACACACAAACTGCCCCAACAGTAATGCCTGCAAAAGCCACAGTTCACTTTTTTCAGACATATAATTCTGCCTTCTCGAGTGTGGTACATACTATGAGCACATGTGCATTGTTCTCATCTCCCACTTCTGCATTCTCACAAGGATCTTAAGCACCTCCACCAGGGATGTTTGTTCTATTGCTCAAACAGTTCAGGTAATTCTCCATATTCTTTCCTCCCTCGTGTTCCTTCACCTGACCCTTGGAGCAAGTCTACATCAGCAGGAGTTACAACTCCAAGATATTTATCGACAGATTCACAGTTTAATGCCAACATATACAGTTAAGACATGCTTAATCAGCAAATTACTGCAAGACAAACTGTTCTTACTTGTTGAGCCAGACTGAGCCCAGCAGCAACTGAGCAGCCTTTATGTTAATGTAGTCCTACTGCATGTCTAGTTAAAATGCTATCCTCTCAAAGTCTCAGATAACTGACCTCGTATTTAATACTTTCACTGTCTGAAGAGTCCATAAATCCAAATTTAAAAAAAAGACCAATCTTTGGTATTTTATGTATATTGCTTAAACCAGAGGCCTGATTTCCCTTTGGTTCTACACTGTATGACTTTAAACAGTGGATCAAAGCCATTTCTGAAAACTGAAGAACAATGAGGAAATGCAGACATTTTCCCTACACACAGCAAAAGTTACCATACCCTTATCATGCATGTCCAAGGCTTTGAGCAGATCCTCTCTGATAGGATGCTTTGCTTTAAAACACAGTCTTTGAACATTTGAAGGAGTGTCATCTCCTGAAAGAGTGGTGAGGTCTATGCAGGTGACAGCTTTCAGCAGCCAAGCAGCCTACAAAGGGAGCAAAACAAGGAATACAGTATTTTCACTTACACTTCCAAAGTCAAACTGACTCAGAAGACGCAGGAATCAGAAGCCTGGCACTCACTCTGACAATGAGGAAACGTAGAGGATATAAGATAAAGGATAAATAATGGCTTATATTAGACAGGTTTGGCAGATAATTATTTATAATTCATTATTTTATAATTCATTATTTGAGTAGTATCTAATGATACAGAAAAGATTTGGAATCAAAAGTCCACTCTCAGAACCAAAGAATCAAATTCCAATTTTTGATGCAAAAGCTAACTACCAAATGGGGCTCTTTAAGAATCAGTTATTTTTATCAAGAAAAAAAAAAGCATCTTGTTTCTGTAAGACAAAGATAAAAACCACCTGTGTGAGATACCTCACTGCCATAATATGCCTTGTATACATATAGACAGTATGTCTGTATCTTTAAGGGTTGTATGCACAAGAAATTATACACATGCTTCAAGAGGGGCACAGGTTTTAAATCGACAGCACCCAGAGGAGTCAACACATCAGCAGTTTGCACACTTGCATGTTTGCATGCTTATCCTGCTGTGAGAGTGAAATTTGGAATCAGAGGGGTTAAGAACCCAGGTTTCTTCAAACTTAGGGTCTAGACTCCAGATATTTCCACTTCCTTTTGTATCAATCAGGAATCAAAAACAATTCTGTAATTATTTGGTGCAAAGTTAAAAATCAAAAGCAAGAACTAAGTGACGAGGTTAAAGTACTCTTTATATGAAAATGCTACAGAATTTTAAAATACTCATCAATCAAAGAATGGAACAGAAGCACAACTAAAAATTTTATGAGCTTTTTTGCTGAACAAAAGTTGAGCATAACATATTCTTTCGAAATATCTTCCAGCAAATGCTCATTTACAGTGATGGCTTCACTACAAGCTGACATCTCTTACTGGGCACTTGTACAAGGGGAGAGTTTGCAACAGCAAAGTCCACGTGAGTCCACAAAGCCCCTCTCTGATTGCTCTGCTCTGTGACACGATTTGTCAGTACAGGCAGCTAAGCTTGTTTCTGCATGAAGGTATTACTCTGCAAATCTTCCATGCCTGGCCTGGCTACAAAGCTTTCACACTTCGCTGATGGGAGTCTCCTTTTGGCACCTGCAGCAAATGTGACACTGAAACCTGCTTTGGGGTGACTCAACAGAGTAATGAACCATCACTGGCCACTGCTAGTCTAAGCTTGACTGCTTTCTAACTGATTTCTCCTTTCACCCTATAGCACTTCAAAAGGGTTTTTCACTTTAAATGGTTTTGTGCTTCTTCTACTTGGATTTTTTTATGCTTCGTTCCAGGGAATTTTCATCTCATCTCTTATGATATGAATCATAAACTCATCAAGACAGATGTAGTCAGGGAGTTCCAATAACTTTTCAGGTTTTTAAAGGGTTTTCCAAATGTATATTTTGGGAAAAGGGATACGGAATTTGAATCTGTGATGCTCCTTACATTGAAATACACAAGATTCAAAATCATCTCTGAAATAAATAGCACATGACTATCCTGCAATGACAGTGTTCAAATACAGGAGAGATGCTTCTGACATTCTTCAAAGTAAAACCTTGCTGAAGTACCAGTGTTTCTACACAGGATGGTGGAGAAGTGTTATTAATAAACATTTGTCCTCCAGCTGTGTTGTGGGAGTGACACTAAATCCCTTTCTTCCAAATTATTCTTTGTAGTGAAAGCCTGTGGCTCTCTCTGTTAGTTATATAGTAACTTTGGTCAAATCAGACTTTCTTTTTACATTACTGCACCTGCAGTATCTGAGGATAGCCAAGATTATGAAATACCCTCTGGATTTTCTCCCTGACACTATTTCCCAGCTCAGAACCACTGGACTGATTACCTTGGTATCAAGTAACCTTTTATGCTCAAGAAACTTATAAAAAAACGTTGAGCTAGTGTCTAACTTACCTCAGTTTATGTCCATTTCTTTATTTAATCATAACACACAAAGTACAAACTTTCAGGAAGGAAAAATAGGCAGGAAGATTTTTTTTTCTATCACCTCCCAGTAGGATCTTACAGCTACATCAAATTATACCCAAACTGTCATCCCCAAGGTTTAAGTGAGCAGAGGGGAGGAATCCCATGAATCTTCTTGCAAGAACAGCTGTTTGGTGAATGAAGGATCAATCTGTCTTTTGGACACCAGTTAGAACCCAGTGGCTGGGAGCTCACTGGGAGCTCCAGGTCTGCTGCACAGCATCTCTCAGACCTCGTCCTTGGCCAAACGCTGCTGCCAAACTGCTCAGAGCATCCTGCAGCCAGTTCTGCTTGCCATTCCCTTCTCAGCACTTCCCATCCTGCCACTGAGGGGGCAGAAGCCAGCACATGGCCGTGCCTCACAGAACACATCAGCTTACGCTGGTGACTGAATGGCTCTGTGTAATGTACGAACTGGAGAAACCAAAATGCACACCACATCAGTATCTGTCAACTCTGCCAGGAGGGCAGCAACCAGCAGAGGTTGAGGGTAACTGCTATGACACTCCAAATGTGTGTTCAATGAATTCAAGTCAGCCCTAAAAAGAAGTTCATTTGCACCGTTGGCTTTAGTGATGCTTTACATGAACTTACTTTATAGTAAAATGGAAAATAACCCACCATTTACCTTATCTCAGCAGTTGAAAAATCAGTCCCCTTAACATTAGTGGGCTCCTTCCATCCTCCAAATGCCACAGCCAGTCAGGTTTTTTTTTTTTTTTTAATTTTAGGTAAAAACTAATTAAGCAATGAAATCACACACGTTGGGAATGTTTCAGTAAAGAAAAATCATCCAGGTAGGTCAAACCTGACAGGGACCATGATCATATCTTACAGCTTTAAAATTAAAAAAAAATAAGAAGGCAGCATGCAGAGAAGTCTGTCTGGGAAACAGAATAAATGTGGTGGGATAGTAATATACAATTTAATCCACTCATGAATAAAGATTACTTAAATCCATTTGCGGTTTTGCCACTCATGAGTTATAAGGTTTTTAACTTGTTTGGATAAATGCATCACCTTATTCCATCCCATCATCATCAAATACAAATTATTAAAATAAGACATGGACAAGCACATCTTTTAAGTTTACATGTATCTTGAAAAAAATTCAATATTACAGCCTGGAGAGGGAGAGCAACTGCTTTAGAAATACAGGAACAGAATGCATAAGAAGAGCACTTACTTGCCAATTACCTTTCAAAGTTTTCCATTTTTTAATTTGTTCTGCATGCATCACAACTGCAGGTCGATTCACATACACTTTTGAGATCCAGCCAAGTTCTGGGAAGAAAAACAACAATAAAAAAATCTCATCTATTTCTGTGTTCTTATAATATATGGTGTGTGGTGCTTCAGAAGAAAGTTGTAGCTTGTTTTGGAACCTCTGAAGAGCATGTTATGTTTTCATGTCCTTTTAGGGACTTGTGTACTTATCACCAGTCCAAAATAGCACTAACTTCTGTTAGAGTATGATCTGTGAACTGGATGTTTCACACAGTATGTTTTGTTTGCCATTACAACTGAATTAACTTAGTGCTGATGGGAGACATTAGTCCAGCCAGTCCTGGACTAAGGAAGTTTATTATACACGTAGCATGAAAAAAAAAAAACACCCAAAAAAGAGCCTTCTGTCTTTGCTCGCTGACTTACTTCTTTATTCTGAATAAATAGTATCACTTATTCAGCCCTTTGCTTGTCTGCTGGGTCCCAGGATACAACAGCATTTTGTGTGTGCGTGAACCTTTGTTTACAGAAACTGTATCCCACACACTCAAAAAAAAAAAACATGGGCAAACTCATTTATAACAAAGCATTTAGGCTGTTATTGTCTGGAGCTAACGCTACTGAATTTGCTGCTAGGGCCTGATTAACTGCACGTTTCCAAAGGTACTGAATTCCTGGGCAACACACCCTTCTGGAAGCAGCCCGAGAAGTGTTCAACTTGCCAAGCACAGGGGAGGACTCAGGGCAACATCTTCAACGCGTGAATTCCTTCAGGTGCCCACTGAAGGGAGACTGGCTCACAACTTCAGTGAGCTTCAGTATCCATGAACAACAACCCAAAGAGAAGCAGATGCTCAGCATTTACTAAAGTAACGAAACTGTCCAGAACCAGAAGAACCCAGTACTAGACTCTGCGTAATGAAGGCTAATGGAGAGTAAATGAGTGTTCAGGCTCTTGAATCTTTGAATTTTTGCTTAGTATGATAAACCAAAAGTGTAATTTTTAATATTAATATACACAAACTGCTCATGGGAATACACAGGAAAAAGAAAATGGAATATCTTTAAAATCTCTCATATCCCAAAACCAAATTATTTTTCTAAATACTAATCATATAACCATTCCATGAAAATACTCTGACAACAACATCAACAATCATTAACTACCAGTCGTCACCCATCAATCATCAAATATCATCACCAGTTAAGGTCAGAATAGGGACATGGACATACATACTAGAAGATAATAATTCTATGTGACTGACTTTATTAAGAGCATTTTATCTCTATGAATCTTCTTTACCACTGCACTAAATTTGCATTTCCCTCGAGTATATTGATTTAAAAAAAGGTTTAAAACTTGGGAAAAAAAAAAAAAAAAAAAAAGCTGATTGCCAAAATCACTAATTTGGTACAGAAATCTTACCTTTGATAGCAAAAAAAAAAAAGTAGAAAACTAGCCAAAGTGTGTGTAAATAAAAGCTCATTTTCCTAGACTTACACAAAGCTACAGAGAAACCAATTTACAGTAAATATGACTCACTGGAAATGCAGGACAAAAGCATTAATAGCTAAATAAAATCTTGTTCTGAGCACAGTAAGGCCACTGTGCTACCACTTTTCTATTACTAAATACAAAATATTAATGAGTGGTGTCTACAAGGTCAAAATTTTGGCTAAAAGCAGAAAAAGTAAATCAATGAAGGAATTCCAAAGGAATCCTAAAGAATTTATGGATTTTCTTAGAATCTAGCATCAGACTCACTGCATGGCAACAAGGAAAAGGAGTGGTTTGCAACTTTGCAAACCAGGTGAACAACAAACTCGTTACTTCTCTCTGTTTTCAAAGCTACAGGCTTATCCATCCTGCCCCAAAAGCAGGAAGCTCAGCTGACATGTGCAAAGCAGGTGAGAAAAACTATTGTTACAAAAGCTATGGCTAGAATTTTCCTCCTTTTTGCCTGTCAATAAATGCAAATTATACAGACAGCTGAAACATAGACTAGTGAAATCTCTGCATCCCCTGCCCTTGCCTTAAGCTTGAAGTTCCTACATGATCAGCAGTGCCCATACACCACTTCCCACAGGGCCACCACAGGGAATATTGACAAAGTCCCTGAGGGAGGAAAACACAACTAACTAACTAACTAATCAATACACTAATAAATAAATACATACATACATAAATGAATAGATACATAAAAGTAGAAAACACAAACTCTGTGTTATGATTCTCCTACTATGTGCCAAGTGCTTAGGCAGCATCATTTAATCATAATACCATTTATTATTATAGCTTTTGAGCCCTACTGGGTGCACAGCAACCTTTTAGCCCCTTTGGAAGATGTGATTAAAAAAAAAAAAGTTTATATGAAGAAAATCACCTTCTCATTCTCTGATAAGGATCCTTTCAGTTGATCTCTAACCTATTCTTTCTGCATTACTAAAGACAACCAATAAATACAACAATTCATTTATCAAAAATTCCAGCCTTCTGGAGAAGAGTTTGGGGGAACATGAAGACAGTGTCCAGTCTGCTACATAGGGAAAATTCAGGTTTGAGATGAAAATTTAAACGAAAGAACATAAATGTCCCCCATGAGGTTAACTCTGCATTAGTCATCATTTGCAGAGGATTCAGTCTGATTCATCCCGTGCTGGACTGGGTAGAAACATACATACAGCTGTTGTATCTACCCCACCTGACTCCTGAGCTCCTCAGAAGGTCTGAGGAATCTTTTCAGAGCACAGAGCACTGATTAGCTTAAAGGAAACAGTATTGTGCTATTTGGAGAAAGCAGGAAAAAAAAAAAAAAAAAAAGGAAACTCATAATCAGTGGAAGAAAAAATGTGGAAGAAGAAGGGTGGAAGGGAAATAAGTTACCACTTTTGCTTTGACCAAAGTCATCTGTGAAAGCTACCAAATATCAGCTGATCAGCAAGGGCTGACCAAATATTCTTTGCAAATATGATAAAATTCATTGGCTTAAGCCCCTTCCACTGTGTAACACATTTTACCTTCTGTTTTCAGTAAGTCAAGGCTAGTCACGAAGGTAACCGGCACATGGCAACTCAGTAACGTCTAATATCTAATTCTGGTGCCTGAGATACCAGTCTCCTTGAAAGATCATAAAATTTGGATCGGAATGTGGGATCTCAAACTACTGCGCACAGCACAGGCAGAAAATTTTTAAAAAAATTAAATAATTTTACAAAATCAGAACTCCATCCTTTTTGTACAGTTTAATGTATGCAGCCTACTATGGGAAATAAAATGGTGTCATAAAAATTGCACAGCAAGGAAGGACAAAGGTTCTCGTAATACGCAGCAGCAGATGGAGACTTCCATCTAACACAGACCTTTTATTCAAGCCCATTTCTACATTAATTAAAGCAATGGGCAAGTGAAAACAAATATGTCTCAGTGTAATCCTCTCAAAATAGACTTTCAAAGTTTGCCATGTGAGGTCTCACCAAACCTTTAGATGTAAGTATCTCTATTCAGCAAAACCAACCACAATTCCAGCTTTTTTTTTTTCCATTAAAAATCAGAATAAACCCATTATTTGAAATAGAACTGACTGCCTTTGGATTCTTGCCCTCCCTCACTCCCCCAAGCTTTATGATTTAGTATCTGGCTAAGGAAAACTATATTTAATTAGGCTCATTAACCTTGCAGTGTGAACACGTCTTTTTTTTTTTTTTTTCAAATAAGTCATCTGCTAGTCATCTGCACAGTCATGTGGCTTCAGGGATAAAAGTAATTAAAGCAGTTACACTACAGCTAATTAGCCAATATTCTGTAATCACTCTTCAAGTTTACTTTTTTCTCTGAAGACATTTGAAAAAATCATATTCAATTCCTTAACAGGAAATTCATCTCCTCTCTTTGAAGAACATGAACCCAAAAATACTGAGCATTTCCTCAGAAAACAATAAATAAAACCACTTCATTAGGATAATTACATAAATATCTAAGGTACCTAACACATTCTTCATAAAACCAACTAAGCTTTCCAAAAGCTTTAAAAAAATGTGTCGATGGCATCCCTTCAGATGGTGAAACAGAAAGCTCAAGAATGCCTGAGGCAGTAGTTTCACAAGCATTTTAAGGCAGCACTGTCCCCAAAAGAAGCTGCATCCCAACTGATTATTTCCTTCTCTGTGCCAGAAACAGCATGTGTGCTCCTGCTCTTACCATGAACACCCGATAAAACGAGTAAGGGAAGTGATGAAAGCTTTTATTTCTGGAGAAGAGAGTGAAACTGCATCCTGAACCTTCAGTGGATAATGAGGCAACTCAGCTGGACACAGGCTGACCCCAGCTGGCCGTGCAGAGCCCAGCAAAGCCACCGAAGAGAGAGAAAAGGCTTCAGGATCGGGTCTTGTTACATACAGTTGTCTTACCATGTAAGCTGTTTGGAGGTTTGGGGGTTATTCAGTTTCATGGAGACAGAAGCTTTAATTATTTTTCCGTAGTGACACTTGCTATGGACCAACAGGTCCCTATTTTTGGATTTTTTTTTCTTTCTATGAAAGAAGTTCAGTCTCAAAGTCATCTGCATTCAGATATTCAATGCAGGACATGAAAGCACAAGCCCTGAAACAGAAATCAGCTCTACTATCTTGTGACATTAGTGAAATCACAAAATGGATCATGGTATCCTCCAAAGCACTTTGAAAAACACTGACAAGTCTTTCCTCAGAAAGAAAGCTGCAGATATAGGGGCCCGGTTTCCTGCAGATCCAAGTCCCTCGTTGTTCCTTCTCTTCTTCCCTAGCTTGAGACCTCTCCTCACTCCAATAACTCAGCTATCCTGACATAGTCCTTACAACCATGGACTAAAGCAGGATGTTGTTACTTGCATAAAGCCCAAACAAACAAGTTGCAATGAAAATTTATGGAAATGCTGATCTGCGCCTGCCTTTCTCTCAACAGAGGGACTAATTTGGTCACTCCACCCAGGGCCTTACTTATTTGAGACATCTACCTGTCCTTCAAATTTGATTAAAATTATCCAGTAGATTCAAAAGGTGTTAGAAAGGAACAGTTAAGAACCAAAGCCACAGTACAGGCTAAAACCAGCTATTAATATATTAGAACAGCATTATGCTGTCTTGAAAGGGATGCAACACTTCATTATCTAAATGCCACTTACCAACAGGCTAGCTCTCACATGTAAATGGCTCAGAAATAGCAACTATAATTAAAAACATCAATTGAAACATAATGAATGTATTTCTGGCCCTTCAATTAGAGGGTCTGAGCAACACAGATAGATTCTGGGGTTTTTTGATCCCAGAACATCGCAAAACAACTGTAACTAATTACTCATTACTCAGAATATACATACATATATGTATACACCCATATACACAGACATACATACACACATAGAGGTAAAAAAACATATCATCATAAAATAACTTGATCAATAAGGTCTCTGAAGGTCACTTGTCCAAATTCCTGTGCAATGCAGCATCAGCATTGAGCTCAAACCACGCTGATGAGGGCTTTGCTCAGTGGGGTTTTGAGAGTCCCCAAGGATGGAGACTGCACGGCCTCTCTGGGCAACCTGTGCCACCGCATGAAAACGTTTTTCCTTATATCCAGTACGAACTTCTCTGCCTGCTGTCTTACTTCACCTCATCAAGCAATGCTGTGAAGAGCACAGATCTGCCTTCTAGATACACTCCCTGCAGGGATGAGCTGGCAGCTGTCAGGACCCCCAAAAGCCATTGCTTCCCCAGGCTGAACCCGCCCAGCTCCATCAGCATTTCCTCACAGGGCAAATGCTCCAGCCCTGGACCCACTGTGTTGTCCCTCTGCTGAAGTTGTGACAGGCCATCAATCTCTTTTTCCTACTGGGAAGCAAGAAAACTGGATACAGTCTTCCAGGCATGCTCTAACAAGTGCTGGGCAGAAGGGATGGTCCCTCTCTCCCCATGAACTACTGTCCCCGTCCCCACTGGTACATCCCAGGAGGCCCCTTGTGACTGCTGGCACTGGTCCTTCCCAAGGCAGGGAAGGACTTGAGGATTCTCTGGGCCTGCTGGATATCTGTTGATCCACTTCCCCAGCCAGTTTGGGTCCCTTTAAATAATCTGGCTAATTTAGTCTAATTTGAAAACTTTATGCAAACTTTTTGCAAACAAGCCACTGCCTCTTCCAAGTCACTGAAAAGAATGTTAAACAGGACAAGTCCCAGGCTATAATGCCCTGCTTGGTACCAGCACCAAGGCAGAGTATTGATCATTGCCTTCTCAGCCCAACCATCAGGGGCTTCAACAATTTCAGTGTCTGTCCATCCAAATGTCTCAACATGAATACAAAATATTGCAAGACAGTGTGAAAAGCCTTGCTGAAGTTGAAGTAAATGGCATCCACTGCTCTCCCCTTGTCAGCATATCCAGCCATTTTACTATGGAAGGTAATTAGGTTGGTCAGGCCATTTACCCTTTTACCAGTGTAACAAATGATAAATACAGTAGATAACACTGCCTGGTTTTAAACTTTCTATTTTGCCATTTTCTGCCTCTAACTAAGGTTACTAAATGTCTTTCTCCGTGATTTCTGAAGTTGTTCCCTCAAAATTGCATCTGTAGGGAACAGAAAACCCATATGTCTGCATCCCCAAACCAAAGGAGTATGTTACTAGCTTACACATACAAATCAGATGCTCATTGCCATGTTTCAATATGTTGTTGTGAAGTGGTACTAAAAAGTTACATCTGATACTTTTCTGAAATATGACAAAACATGAAACATCTGGTCTATTACAACCAAGCAACTTTGTGAGCAGAGCAGGAGATCACCACTCCTCTCAGGACCTGCAGGCACCGTGGTGAACCCAAGTACACAAGAATGACTCCATAAACAGTCCCTGAGGAATTAAAAACTTGTAAAATTCTTTATCTGGCTTCTTTACATGACTTTGTGATGGCAAAAGTATCAGTGTATTAGCCTAGTGACTGAGTGTGCACATCAGTGTTTTTATCTGTGGAACACATTACCTGTTATTTACCCAACACCTTCTACAAACATACAGTGATGAGAAGGAGGGGAGGATTAAGGGCTTTTACAAAAATATATTTATTTTACAGAAAACAAACTCCAAACACATGGGAAAAGCACTGCATTCCATGATTTGTGAAGAGCTTGGCTTGTTGCTGATAAATAAATAGATGCTTATCTGACGGCAGGATCAGAAATTTACCGCTTAAATAATGACATGTAGCAAACACAGAAATAGACACAGAAAAGGACTGAAGTAATATATTTTTAAGTAAAATACATTTTACCACTAGATGTCCCTGTTAGAAAACTATAATCCTACACAATGCTGTGTAAGATACAGGGCAAATCACTTGAATTACTGTTAAAGCTGCTGCCACAAGCTTGCAAAACCTTCAAAAACTGAAGTGCCTAAATCACAGAAGCCGTGTGTATTGTTAGCAACCACGAAAGATAAAGGGTTAAACACATTCTTTTTGAGTACTGCTACCAGCTAAGGTACAGCATTAAGTAGGATATGTTAAGTTCTATATTAAGAACATTGCTGTATTTCAGATATGTTATCATATATTATCAGGAGAGTAAATGGCAGGGAGATTCAGTTCTCCCTTTAAAGCAGCCAGCATAAGGCAGCTGCTAGAAGCTGCCACTTAAATGTGGTCACCACACCATTGCCCCACTACACCTGTCCCAAACATCTAACCCAGCTCATTTGACCACAACCAGTTTAAACTGGGAAGGGATGGCAACAAGTATCTGCGGATAAGCTGAGGGCAGTGGCCTTTCCAGGTAAATCAGTAGGAGGCCACAAGGCGCAGCCCTGAAGATATCCATTGCTCTGTGGTCTCTGTTGATAATCTTGGACATTAGCTGACTCTGCCTCTTAGGCAGGGAAGGACTACTTACAGGAGAAGACAGTTATAGAAAGTATTTGGAATATACTCAAAACCAGTGATTATGTTGTGCTTGTCAGCAGCACACTGAACACCTTTTTCCTTGACTGTGGCTGCACAGCAAGATCCAGCCAAATGTGAGGTTGCCCACCTCTTCCAATAATTTCCCACTAGATAGCAAGGTCTTCCTTGCGTGTATGCCTCTTGGAGGATGACTGCTTGATAAGAACTGAACTGACTTCACATTCAAGTTTCTGGACTCCCCACACATACCAACAATTAATTGTAAGATTGAATTTACAGTAAGAAAAAGCACACCACACACCTAGTTTAAAACAACTGGAGTGTATTTGCAAACTTTTGTGCTAGCTTGTTTTCCTAACAGACACTGAAGTTCTGTCACTATGTTATTAACACGTTTGTTTCAGCAAAAAGATGTTGTTCAGGTGGCTACAGTTGAAATTCACCTGTCCCTACAGGGAGTCCACAAACAAGCACATCAGAGAGCAATTAGGACACTTTTAGGAGCTGCAACACGTCCATGATTTCAGAGAATGAAAACGCAGTCAACTCTCACTTGTCCAAAAGTTAATAATTTAAACTGCATGTTAATTCTGTAAAACGTGCCTGTTTATTCTCGTGACAGAAGCACAGCCATGTGACACCACATGAACAGCCTCCTGAACTCTGCTCGTGCCTAGAGATATCCCAGTGCCACACCAGCTGCCCTTTGCTTCCCATCTTCCATGATGCCAACCCTGTATCTCCTCCACTTAATTGTCCACTTACTCATGCTGACCAAATTATCACACCTTAAAGGCAGATTGTAGGCAGGCTCATCCCTTCAATTCTTTCCACTGCTGCAGTTGGGTTTTGCTGGGTGGAGAAGTGAGAAAGCTGTAGCCCTTCGGTTTTTTTCCCCCAGCAATGAGCAGAAAAGAAATTCTCCTAATTGCCCGAGAGTGGTAGAGAAACCCTTTCTTGGCTACTCTCTGCTTTACCCGAGGCAGAGCCAACTTTCAGGCCTGGAGACCACCTTGGAAAATCCCTATCGCTCTTCAGAGAGCAAGCAACGAGGAGAGTGATAAGAAGAGGTGAAGTCCCAGATTTGCAAATACGAATCCAACTAATTGTTTTTAATCCCTTAAAAGACGAAAGAGTGTAGGGGAGGATTATTCCGTGAGAACCAGCAAGGCGTGTAAGAGAGGACCAAGCCTAGGTTTGTGACAGGACCGGGGCTGTGGAGTCCCGCACAGCTACAACCTGTCACCCTGGTCGGAACCCTTCAAACAAAAGTCCTGCGTGAGACACGGAAACCTCAACTTGTGTTCAACCAAAGGGAAAACCAGCCTCCTGCCGGCCTCCCGCTCACATGTCACTGGAACACGTTGCAAGACCTACAGGACTCGCAGGTCTGTTTCGGCTTTTCAGACAGACAAGGCTGTCCCTCAGCCTGGCTCCTACACACACTGCGGTGGGTCGGCCGGGGGTCAGCGCCCCCGGCACTCCCCCGCCCGCCCCCGGGAGCCCCGCACGCCGCGACCCGCAGATCCCCCCGGGGAGCCGGGCCGGGCCGGGCCCTGCCCCGCCGGCCGCCCTTACCCAGCTCGGTGCCCGGGTTTCGCCCCGCCATGGCTCTCCACCCCCGCGGCCGAGCCGAGCCGGGCGGGGCGGGCAGAGCTGGGCCCCGCCCCGCGGGCAGGAAGCGGCGGCGGGTCCGGCCCGAGCGCGGGGCTCTCCCGGCACCGGAACTGCCCAGCGAGCGACGGCCCTTCTGCAGCGGGAACTCCCGGGATATTCCCGTGTGGATACACGGATAGGCCATACCCTTAGCGATACGTGACGCCGAACCTGCCCGTTTGGGTGGCCATGAGTCCAGGCATGGCCTTTCCGGTTTCTCCCCGTGGAATCTTCAGGGAGGAACTAATGCCCTAGTGCCACACATACTCATGGGCTCTGTGAACCTGGCCTGTAACACTCGTAGTGACACCTGCAAAAATAAAAGTCCGACAACAAAGCCACCGACAACTTCTTGGCTTTAATTTTCACCCCCCCCCCCCCAGAGCAGTAAGGACACAAACTCGCATGAAAAAGAAGTACTAAACATTGTTAATAGTCTCATTCACATGAAACACCTCCCAGCTTCAGCCCTACTCGTTCGGTGCTAACAAAGAAACCACAAACAGGATCAGGTAAAGCAGCAGAGGGTCACAGCTCTGAAAGCCGAGGACACTTTTTTTTGCTTTTCCCACACCAAAACTGCATGTATTCTTTGAGAAGCAGTTTTTCAAAGACAGTAGCCACTCCATGAGGAATATATATCATTTGCACTGTGTACTTTAGAATACATTAAAGCAGTGCAGAAGTTACAAACTTTCATGTACTTTGGTTGTTTTGGAGTTTAATTTCTTGCAGTGTTTTTTGGTGGCAATCATTCGGTATTAGGTCTGTGTATTAGCTCTGTTTCATTCTGATTTCTTGTTTTAAACACATCCTTCAACTTGTAAAAGGAAGTTTCTAAGCTGAAGTACGAGACTGGGGGCCCTCATAAGCCTTAGTGGAATTAATGAGACAGAGACAATTAGCTCTAAATCAGAGGGTTAGAAGTTGCTAGTTTTTAAAATAAAATTCAGATAATTGCAAAACTAATTTTGGAACAGAGTCTGTGAAATAATATACTCTTAACACCCTTGATGCACTAAGAAACCATAATTCACAATATCACTTTGTGCTTTGTTCTTACTTCCACTCCCCTCCGACAGGTGAAGCTGGAAGGGGACCTCTGTCAACCACCCCTCCAAGCAGGTTCAGGTACAGGAGGCTCCCTAGGGCCAGATCCAGTTGGGTTTTCAGTATCTTCAAGAACAGAGACTTCACAACCTCTGCCAGTGTTTGACTTGCCCTCACAATGGAAAAGTATTTTCTTATGTCCAGATAGAATTGCCCATGTTTCAATTTATGTTCAAATGTTAAGCTTCAGTTTTCTAAGATGATAGCACTACTGTACTCTTGGGAAAAAATCCAAAAGGACAGTAAGGACAAGTATGAATATTACAATGTAAAAAGGTGTGTGAATAAGTATACCTCTGTATAACTTTCTTCTTTCCATACAGAATGCATAATGTAAAACTTTCAGCATACCATTAAAGGAAATGACAAGTGGAAGAACAGCAATTATTTTCTTTAATGAAGAAAATATGATTTGTAACCTTGAAAGAGTAACTTTTTTATCCAGTCTGGATGACTAAACCCAAGTTTTATACAGATTCGCAGCCAACCTCCAAGATCTTCATGTACAACCAAATATTTCAGCCAGCACATTTAATATAAGAGTTTTTGTTGTTTTTCATTTTAGAGACTCATGTTTACATTCAAACTTTAAAGAATAAAAAAAGACTCAAAGCTTACAGATCAAAGAACTTGCCACCCTCTGTACCAACACTAAAACATTCTTTTGCTTTCCCTCTGTATAGTACAAAACCAAGATGCTAGAAAGGATTACGTGATTAATTTGGTTGCTTTTCCATTTCACGAACCCAATGCTCAACAGTAACGTACAAGTTTTGAGAGGCATTTTATTTAGACAACTGAAAACAGTTAAACATTCAGAAGCAGCATACAATGAAACAAAACCCGAACCAAATACTTTTGAGTACATAATCCCTTCTTTTCAACTACAGCCAATTCTTCCAACTTTCAAGAAAAAAAAAAAAAAAAAAGGGTAAAAGCCATTGTATCTCTTCTCCGTAATAAAGAAAGCACACTACAATGAGTCTAATTGAAATTGGAGAGATTGGATCTTGGCTTGCACACTTCTTTGAAAAGACAGTAGGCAGTTATGCCAAAAAGACAGCAAAACTCTACTACTTGTCTTTTGGGTTTTTAATTGGATACTCAGTTCTCTTACAGACAACACCTAGCCAGTTCCACCGCATTCTCATCAATTACTGCCCATCTTTGCCTTACGTAGAGAGCTCACTCTGGAAGGCTGCTGTTTGTCACTGCTCACTTGATTTAGTCTTGTATGTCCATGTGTCATGTAACAGTTGCAGTAATCAGGCCTTAACTTCAGGAGTTGAGCTGTACACTGTATCTGAGTTTTCAGAGGCAATCTCTTCTGCAACTAAATAAAAAGAATTTTATTTAACTTCACCTTAGATATATAAACCAAAGAAATGTTGCATGAATTGCTTAAAGACCAGTTCAGTTTGCTTTCCCATTCAGCCTGATCCAGCTATTCAACCCCATCTGTTCAGCCTGCACAGCTCCAGGCACCAGTCTGACACCACATGGTCATTTTGTTGAAAATGTGTTCAAACACCTTTTGAAAAGAGTGAAAAATGCCAGAAGATACTTAAGGGAAACTACCTCTTCCATACTAAAGAACGCTATCCTCCTGACTGATCTTTTAACACTTAGCTGAGTGGAAGCTGACAGTTCATTGCATTACCTATTTCCTCCTCTGCAGTTCCTGGAAGGGTAGCCCTTGCTTTTGCTGCTTCTGCATTCTCCTCTTCTGTAGAGGACAAGGAAAAAATAGTCAGTACCTTCAGTTCTACTTACTCACTCTAATAATAATAAAAAACTAATTTCCACTTAATTTAGTGCTGAGAAGAAACATCTGGGCAAGCAATTCCATTAATGAACCTCACTTGCAGTTATTGCTTCCCTCCCCCCCAAGCTGAAAGAACCAAAGTACAATATAAAACTACCATCCATACTTCTTTCTAGAAAATATCTCTCTCAGAATTATAAAGGTGGTATTGCATATTTATTGCTCTTTCACATAAAAATACATCAGACTATTTGCTTAAATATCCACAAAGTGTCTATATACAAAAAGCTTACAGGGTTCATTGCTGACATTACAGCTACAAAAATACATCCTCAAATCTATCAGATAAGAGTGGATATAGAAACCGTCAGAAGACGGCAGTTGCTGCACAAAATTAATTGCTTACCACTAGTGATAGGTATTACTTTAAAAGCACCCATGGAGCAGCCAAGTTTACCAGGAAAAAGCACACACTTACCAGGAACTACACATTTCCAAAGACCATAGGTTTTTCCTACTGTTGTCTGCCACAGCCTTAGTGTACCATCCTCAGAGCCACTTGCATATAACTCTCCATCAGGGCTAAATCTCACACAGTGAATTGGACCAAAGTGCCCTTTGTAAGATTCTGTAAGAAAACATACCAAGACCATCAATGTCACACTTCGGCCAACAACTGAAATTATTAAGCACAAACAGATCAAAAGAGGAGGGAAAAAAAAAAAAAAACACTGATGAGAGAGCACTTTCTCAATAATTACCTTCTGACACAAAACAAAGCTTCCATGCATTGGTATCTCAGCAATGTCTAATTTAGGTAAAATATTAATGTTTCATTAACTGCCAGAGAAAAGGTGCTTATTTATTCTAGACAAAACTACAAAGCAAGCCAGCAACGCAAAATACACATGCTCTGTTCCTTCAGCCACTCACTCCATACACATACAATTTTTAACAAGGACAGGATCAATGAAAAAACTTAGAAACATGCTTTTTGTTTTAAATAAATTTGGCCAACATCTACCACATTTTTCATAAAAGCAAGTAGCTGACATATCTAATGAATGCTGTAGTACGACGCTGAAGTTAACACAGAGCTATGCAGCAATACCATGATTTTTTTTTTTTTAATACATGCAAAGAGCTGTTGAATGTAGGTTTTGATTAGTTCTAGAAGAATAATGTTGGGTATACTGAGATAGGAAAAAATACTTGAACTGGTAATATACCTTTCATCCTCTTGCACAGCATGTTAAGCCAAGACCTTATTTGTGTACAGCAGCTTCATTTACTAGTCATTATTTAATGAATACCCATTTCATAACTCCTTTTTGATTGTAGAAAACAAACATACCTAATTCTTCTCCTGTATTATAGTCATATTTATAGAGTTTAAAATCTTCACCACCTGCGACCAAACATTCTTTTGCAGGATGAAGTGATGCAGAATTGATTGTAGCTGGTGCTTCAAATGATTTAATCTGCTCTAGACTAAGGGAGAAAAGTTTTATAACAAAGTTAATTTAAAAAAAAAAAAAACAACCTGAGAGCAAAGAAACTGTAATTCTACTAATCTCAGCTGCTTTTAAGAAAAATAGAATACAAGCCTCCAGAGTTTATGAAACAAGTTTTAATACTTCAAAACCATGCTCATCAAGTTGGAATAAGCAAAACAAAAGCTCACACATTCAGAACTACTTTCTGGAATATGTTCAAGCATATAACTTCTTTCTTAAGATATCATCAAGATGTATAAATAAGTTCTCTGAAAACCACTGTACTGAAACATGGCTGAAACTTATTTAACCACAATTACAGCTAGTGTGAAACACAACAGTGGCACCAAACCCTTTCAGACAGGTTTCACTATTTTATTAGAGGGTAGTTGTTTCATACTCTGCCTCTGCCAAGACAGAGGTATTCAAGAAAAGATGTGCCAGATCTGACAGCTTGGTGATTTTAACCTTGTACTGCCAGTTTTCATCCCCAACCAAGCCCATTACTCAACCTCTGAAAATCATGTTGTGCACTCACGTTTCTGCACTATGAAAAGCAATAGTCTTCCCATAGGTTATCACAAGGATCTGTCCTTCTGGAACATACTCCATGCTGCTCACTGACATTGCAACATTTAGTGACTTCACTTCAGTCATGGTACTCCGGTCCCAAAGGCTTAAAACAAAAAAAAAAAGGAAAAAGAAGACTCTCAGATTGCTTCAGCAAGTCAAGTAATTTTCATCTCCCATCCATGGCAAGACTTGGGTCAAAAAAGGCATCTGAAGAATGTGATTTGATTCCACAGGTACTTCAGATTTTCAGTGGCATTATGTGCATTGTCACCTAGGCCAAGTTTAAGACACACCTCCTTTTAAAAATAATTTTACATTTGCAGTTTAATGCAACTACATTCAATGGTACACACACCAGTTAACTACTCAAGGATTCTCTTGGAGATTAAAAATCTTGGTTTAAGTCTCCTAAGCAATAGGTCCTTCTAGAAGCAAAGCTTGAAAATTCCATTCTGCCTTTTTACCTCACCAGACCAAGAGGTACTAATGCCAATACACAGAGATTCATTTAAGATAATATAGTTTTCTATCTAGCGGTGTAAGAGCAATCTAAACAGAAATTAAATTGTTCTACTGTAAGTAAGAATCTTTTGTTTATTAGCTGGCTCTGCTAGGCATGAGATAACACTGGTCATATCAGCCAGAAAGCTGAAGAAGCAATTAGGCACATCTTCTATCCTTTCTGGAGAGCACAGTCTGAGGGAGGTTCATCTCCCCAGCAGCCAGGTTTATCTGGTTTCAACACATATCCTGCCAACGGGAGACAGAGTAAACTTAACCATCACTGGACGACACATCTTATAAAAACACTAAAGCCTACTCAATTTACCAGCATGGCAAAGAAAGAGGGCTTTGTCTATCAGCTGTGCACTGTTTCCAGTCATTCTTTGGAGGCTTTTATCCCATTGCATGCAACTATAATAATCTAGGATTATCCTTAAAAAAAAAAAAAGGTACCTATATTCTCCCACAGATTATGACAATAAATAAAAGCTTCTTAGAAAACTGAACGTTAACTTTTTCTTACCGTACAGTTTTATCATCAGCTGAAAGAATCTGTTTGTCATCACTGCTCCATAAAGCCTTTTTAATGCCAGAAGTATGTCCACTGACAACATCAGGTTCTTAAAATAAAGCCAAATATTTTAATAAATAGAAGAAAATGAAGTAATGTCATGCAGCAGTCTAGGAGCTTTCCTTAACTATATGGATTTCCATTTACTAGAAACTGTAGAATTATTTCAAACATTTGAGACTTTATCTGTAGGTCTTATTCCAGAAACAGGATAAATAACTGGATATCTGATTGCCTAATTTCAAAAAACTTCACTAGGTTAACATCAAGGTTCTCTAGCTGCATATCAACCATACATAGTTCAGTATCAACACAAACGTAAACAAATATGTGGAGTCTTTCTTTCTTTCAGATGACTGATTTAATTATTTAGACTTATTTTTAATGAGTCTGTGTTGAACTGAAACATGCTATACTTGAAGTGCATAACAGATAAACTTTAAGTTATGGATGAGCCATCCCTGGAAGCGTTCAAGGCCAGGCTGGATGGAGCTTTGAGCAACCTCGTCTAGTGGAAGGCATCCCTGCCTATGGCACCGGGCTTGCAACAAGATGATCTTTAAGGACTTAAGGACTCCTCCAACCCAAACCATTCTGTACTTCTATGACCTCACTCTAGCAAAAGTTACAGACATTACACTTGTAAAACAATCCTCAACTTTGTCTTTTGTGTCTCGTAACAGAAAATAACTCTTCAATTTCAGAATTTGTATTTAACTCCAAAGAACCAAGAATCAGTTCTAAAAGCAGACTCACCTGCTTCTGGCTTGCTCAAGTCATAGATACGCAAGAGCTTATCTTGTCCACCTGTTAACAGATAATTGCTATCCTGAAACAGAAATTACAGAGAGTCAACTATTTTGAATCAAAATACCAGCCTTCATCTGTGAGTTAAAATAACAGTTCTTTCTCTCAGACAGCTTCTAATACACTTACTATATTTATTCTACAATCTTAAAAACGAGCAGTGGTATGTTAGATTATTTGCCTGTTGAGAAACACACGAAAAAAGCAGAAAAGTAACTAACAGCGGAACATACTCAAAGACTTACTTTCCTGGTGTATAAGGTACAAAAGTTTCTCATACCTGTGTAAAATCCACACTTTTGACAATGTGTTTGTGAGCCAATGTGATTAGTTCATCGCCTGACACAGCATCCCACACTTTGCTAAACAGCAAGAGGAAACATTCATACTTTAGAAACACCAGGACAAATCAACTTGGACAGTCACATGAGTTTGTAAGCAATATTTCTGATGCCATTATAACATTTTATCATAAGTGTTACATTCTTATAAGTTATAACCCAATTATTCAACAAGAATACACTGTATGTTTCTACTAGAGCTTTTTTTAGACTATCCCATCACTTTCCTTTATCCTCTTTTTCAGGACCATGCAGACTAATTAGCATTTTAATTTAAGAGAAAAGTAGTTCTTCTCTGCAACTTTATTAATAGAGATTGCCCTTTACTAACAAGATCCAACTTGCCAAATACTAATTTATACTGCAAACAGCACAAACATAAACACCATAAACATCAAATAAATAATTCATTAGAATTTTCTTGTAATAAAAAGAGGCTTACTGCTAGAAACAAAGTAAAAATCACTCTTTCAACTCTAACTACAGTGCCAGAAATTAGAGCTGCATAGAAAAGTTATTCTAGCAAACCAGTACAGTAATTAAGCATATCAAGAAGCAATCACAGTTGTTCATCATGTTGGAATTGACTGTAGCTGCTTTCAAGATGCTAAAAGTCTAGGTTTTAATTTGGCTAGCCAAAAATAAGCTAACAATTACTAAAGAAAAAAAAAATCAACCAGTAATTTAGTACAGCTATATCATGTCAGCAAAGAGCACCACAGACTAAAATCAAAATACAGACCACAAAGACAGTGAATCACTCACGCTGTAAAATCTGCTGCTGCTGTAGCTGCTTTAGTGGCATCTGTGTTCAAAGTGGCACCCCAAACAGCACCTTTATGGCCTAGAAACGTGCCAATCCAGTCCCCTGTGTCACCCTGACGTAGCATAGGCTTGCCATCTTCACAGAAACAAAACCAACATTCAGGTAACGTGGTAAAAGAAGAAAGCTGGG